AACAATTTAACAACTGCAATCGAGAAAAAAACCAAGTAAGATGTAACAACTGCAATCCTTCATTTTCAACCTTTTTCGCAGCCTAAAAGTACGCACTATGTGTATTTTCTCTCTGATCTAGATGTTCCTATCCCATTACTTCCTTCATGTGCTCTAAAATTGAAGTTTACTTAAATTCTTATATATTCAACTTGCGTATCAACTATTTCTTTTCATTTTCATCAAATGGTAAAAATATGAGAGATATATCATGGGCAGTATTGACAATGAATTATCAATATTAATTTCATTCAATACATATGTCATGAAAATAGTAAGCAATGATTATTCAGACTGTTGAGCAATTAAGTAGTCGCATATACTCTAGAAAAGTTAGCGTCATTATATTCATTGACAATACGTTTTCTCCTTAATTCAGAATTTCAAAGCTAAACGGGTGTTTTATTTTTGCAACATGAAATAAATTATGTATAGAAAACAAATTTAATTATTTATTCAAAGCATTAAATACTATATTTGATTTAGCGATTCGTTCAGTAAACGTTTTCAGCAATAACCATTGTTAACGTCCGTTTGAACGTAATTTAATTTATTTTACTCTCTCGTGGGAATAATTATTGAAGATGTTGATGAAATTTATTTATTCTTATACATTTCAATTATAATAAATGGTTTGATTAGAGTGTTTTGTATCTACAATTATTATAGCTGTTTTATAATTGTATTGATGTTTATAAATAAGCACTAGCTTTTAAGTGTGAAATACATTACATACATTCGCACAATCTTTTATTGTCCTCAATTTTATTCATGGAATGAACTTAACTCTGCCGCACTTAAAACCCCCGTCTCTTCGTCAAATTTACTTATAAATCAATCTTACACACATATATATACATGTATATATATATATATATATATATATATATATATGTACACTTTTTCACTTTTTTGGTCTTTTGGAAAATGTTTTTTGTGCTGTATTTAGACCCCTCTAACAAGAAATTTGTTTTGCATGCACACGTATAAAAATTGCGGTTTTTATCCAACGCAATCATAGGTTTGAACGTTGTTTTCAATTTAGACTTGTATATATATGTACATATATATATCGACTGCATTTCACTACTTTCAACGTGGCTGGTATCGAAACCCCACCGTATATATGATCATATAATATAATTAATCTATACATGAAGACCATCTTCTAGACCATTTGAAAATAAAAATAAGGAGATGTGGTATGATTGCCAATGAGACAACTATCCACCAAAGTTCAAATGAAGTGGATGTAAGCAATTATAGGCAACTTATCAAGTTTAAAGTAAAACTGTATGTTTATTTCTGCATGCAGAAGCATATTCTGATGATATTCCACTCTTAGGTAGTAGCGAAGGCATATCGTTTTTACCTGTCCCCCTGTCCATCAGACATCATGGTTTCCAAGTGTGTCAATACATACTTTATATTGGAATGCTGCTTAATTCAATATATGGTCAACCTTAATTTAATATATGGCCACACACAATAAGAGAAAAATATATTTTGATTTTGTGTTAACTACGTCTAAGGTTAAGGTTATGGTCAAAGTTAGTTGAAATTGACCTAAATTTATGCAGGAAAGTTGTTTCCGGATGTTCAACCAAATTGTTCATATCGGATTGTAACCATACGGTGATTGGTTGTCACCTGTAACGAGAGGAAAATCAATGTTGCTTTTGAAGTCAGTACTTATTACATGTAGGTCTATAATGTTAAGGCAAAAGAAACTAAAAATAGATCGAAATGTTTACAGGAAAGCAGTATCTGATTTATAATTCTATACACTTGTCAATGAATAGGATTGTAACTTAACTTGCATATACATGTATGGTCACACATAACTAGATTGAGATCCCTATTGCGTCTGCGGTCAATACGTCAATGCAATAGTTTCTTAATCGACGAAGTAAACGGACCTTATAACGATAGCTCTAAGACCTCTCACATGATTGGAACCTTACTTGGGGTTTGGATAAAATATCAGGGGAAGAAGATCCCTTTAGATTTTTATTATATATATCCAAGGTCAGCATCACAGCTTCTATAAAATGATTGACCTTTTAATCCTTGTCACCGGGATAATGCTTTCGTTTTTTGTAGGCAATATTACTGTCATAAATCAAAACATAAAAGAATCATACCTTAAAGTAAACAGAAAAATCGAAGCCAGCAGGTACCTTAATGTCAAAGGCAGTTTCTTCCCCTTTATATAGGAAGGTGTATGTAAACTTGCTCACTATAAATGGTTTTTTAATTAGCCTTTATGCTATTCTTATTAGGCAATAATTTTCAAAAATAAGTATATTTTTTCTGCGTACATACAAATTCTTATAAACAAACACTTTTAAAGAAAATATAGTTGAAGTAACCCATTTACTTTTCAACTTGAGTTGTGCACGTTCTAAAACATAGAGCAGTAAACATAGCACACAATACTACAGTATACTTTCACGGTAATGTGATCAACAGTTTGATAAATGTTTTATTTCAACGTTCATGACATTCGAGTTAAATATGCTGATGGTACATTTGAGAATACATTAAAGTGATGAAAGTGCTTTGAATAAGATAATCATACAGCCTTCAAAATACATTTCTTCTTCATAGTTTCAAACAAATTCAATCTAATTAAAATATAGATCTCGGATTTCGTTATACTACATACGAGCCTCGTATGTAGTATAACGTAGTATAACGAAAAACAAATTATGTGTACTAATTGGGAAAAAATAACTGTAGGTGACTTTTCCGATCTTGGATAATTAACGTATGATACCTCACGCTTATTTGTTCTCGTCTAATGAAACAAAAGACAAAGACAGACATTTGAGTTCAACATTTCAATGAACGCAAAAATGTTTAAATGGTGTAGATATTGTCATTTAAAACTTATCAAAACACTCTATTAAAGGTTTTCACAGATTTCTAAGACTTACTTTGATTGTTGGTTCTTTAAGGTCCAGTGGGAAATATTTCATGAATCATACAATATATATATATTCAAATTGAACAATAAAAATATGTCAGAAGATATTGAACTATTGAGCAGATCGAGTAGGAAAAGGGGTGGTGATGTGCACTAACTGCCTCTGGATAGACGGGATATGTTGGGTTGAGGCAGAAAATTTCCCCTTTCAATAGGCCTTCTGCGTTAGTTTATTTACTGCATGCAGAGAGCGGGCACTCGCCTAACAGAATCATTAAATTAAGTCACCCTTCTGACCGGACGTGGTTGTGTATTTGTATACATCTCGTTCATCTGAACGGTGGCCACCTCTATTTGAGTTCTGATGTTTACTTATTAATATTATATTACTGAGGTTCGTGTCATGATAATAAACTAGATGTAAATATACAAAATGTTCCAATTAAAGACAGCTGTTCTGGTATATGAAGCCCCTTAATTACAGTGCTACATGAAACGGAACGAAATAATTGATTCGTGAGAGTTAGAAGAGAAGAGACTTGTTTTTTTGCCTTCTTTTTTTATTTAAACAATCCTTAAAATAGCTAAAGGCCTAATTTGTTTAACATTTGACATAATATTTCTGTAATGACTCACTGAAAGGTCAGACGTACTTCTTTCTGGTTTGTTTGGAAATCTCATTAATTATTCTTATACAAATATGAAGCCTTATTAATTTCTACTTCCCTGGTTTTTTATTCATTTCATCATCTTCATGCATACAAGAAATGCAATACAGTTGCGGTAAAGTGGAAACACTGTCTCAGACGATCATAATTCATATGAAAATATGTACATGTATAGACATTGTTGTCGTTTCTTGTATACAAGAAAACATATATATAGTTATGGTCTTGTCAGATTGACATTAGAACTTTCTCCAAGGACGTCAGAAAAAAACTGCATGTAGTTTCCAACGGCATAATCAGAATCTTACCAAATCAAGACAAGAGAAGTTTATAGAATAAAATTTGTACAAGAATGTAAATATTTATTGAGAATGGCCACAACTTCCATACCTTCGATCATAAGGAAACAAGAGCCTAATTATTTGAAATGCATTTTCCATAGAGTACCAGTGGTGTTCAAAACGTTTTTTTTTTTTAACAAACAAACTAGTCAGAAAAAAATGGGTATTCCGTTTCTGTTGGCCTATGAACGGTTGCGTCCAATAATAGTCCTGTTTACTGTTCATCTTCGAAGTCCATGTTGATTTCTTAACTGTACAACTGGAAATAAAAAAAACACTAAGTATTTAAGCGTCAACGTTAAATTGCACTTACACCTGTTAGTTGCACCATTTTGAATTCGTCCTATTTAGAATTTATTCTTCTTTCCTCTATTTTTGTTCTGAAATCGTCTGTTTTTGAGATTTTAAGACAAATCATTGAACTCCATGAAAGATTGATAAACATCCGCCTTAACCATTGTAATATGTATAACACAACATTATTCACAGGCTGTTCCTTCCTATTTATAACGATCATGGAATGGATACTTCACGTTGAATTTTATGGAATAGTTATGTCACAGCTAGTTTGCAGGTGATTTCATGCATGTGTTCCAATTGTTGAAACCAAAATCCCGTCCTGTTTTCCTCTATTGCAACATCACTGATTGTGATTTTTCACTGAATGAGCAACACATAGCGTGCAACAAGTGGAGCAGGTATCGTCACCCTTCCGAAACTCTTGAGCTATTTTGGTAGGGTTTATGTTGCTCAATCATTAGCGTTCTGTGTAGTATTTTGTGAATGTTTTTCTTCCAGTCGGTGTGTTATCTGTTTTTTTTTTCTTTCGACTTTTGGTTTTTTATTGCCTCTATAGTATATCCAACCCTTTTATGTTTTCTGCAATATATTTTCCATACTTCAACTATTTATTAAATCATACATGTACAACGACATGTTGATAAGTATCAATAAATGGTACATAAAACTTCTGTCGTTTGCATTTTAAACTTTACTCTTGAACTAAAGTTGTATTTTTTCTAGTTTCAGGAGAGGTTGTGAAAAGACAGTTAATACCGACTTTTATTCCACTTACACCAAGAGATCAGGTGGTCCATACAGGAGACACTGTTCTACTGAGATGTCAGATACGAAATTTGGGTCCTAAATCGGTAAGTTGGTTGTATAAATATTACATGTTTTAGGATAGCATTGTCATTAGGTTTAAAAAAAAAAAAAGAAAACAACACTTTATAAATTTCATGCGTCCGAAACGCTTTTCTGGATGTACCTAATTAGTTTATTGCTCCCTCTTGTCAAAGTTTTTTGGTGTAAGACACTCGTTTGATTATTGATATAGTTCATTTCGACATAATTTCCAAGTGATTATGTCATAGTGTTTTATATTTACACGTTATGCATTGCTTTACATGATGTATAATATTTACCAATTAAACAGTCATTAAATGCTGTCATGCAGTATTCCTCACTAGTAAGCAATGAAAATGTCTGTCAATGCAAAACTATAATCTATTTATAATAAATTTTAGTTTTGCAACGCGAACATCTATACTAAAATATTGGTAATGTTAAGACATGATATATCATGCACAATTATATCAAATAGCGTTTTCATGTCGCGGCCTTTTATAGCCGACTATACGGTATGTCTTTTCTCATTGTTGAAGGTCGTACGGTGGCCTATAATTGCTTATATCCTTCATTAACTTTGAGTGGTATGTATCTTTTGGCATCATACACTGGCAAATTTTGTTCACGTGAATTTAACGTGAAATTAACGTGAAATTCACGTGAGCAAAATTTTGCTGTGTATGCATGAGGAAATGTGCAAAAAATAAATGATAATTTGAAAGTATCTATATTTTAGATGCTAATGATTCTACATTAATTGTTTCATGACAAAAGAAATTTAAAACTCACGTCAATAGCCTTGTAGCTTCTTCTAAATGACATTTTAATGTCCATAAAATTATTGGTATGGCATACATATAATTGACCAACATACCTGTTTGCACATTATAAAAATCTGTTTTTGAGAATAAGCAACACTTAGCATGATCTTCATCGCTCTATTGTCATGCAATAAATTTCATTGCCAACTATCTGAACATTTTCAATTTCTTTTATTTTAGGTTTCATGGCGTAAAATATCCGAAGATTTCCCATTGACTATTGGCGACATGATGTATGCGCCCAATCCAGAAATGAGTGTTGATTTTGTGCGAAGTGGTCGTATAACAAATAATACTTTAATTATAAAACGCGTAAAACCGTCACACTCAGGGACATACGAGTGCCAAATAAGTTCTGCGAATATCTATACATATCATGTGACTTTAGAAGTTTTAAGTAAGTATTTCATTATTCACGGTTTGTTAACTCAATTTTGTATAAAAATGTCGCGCAAGGAAAGACGACTACTTAACGTAATACTAATACCCAGACGCTGTTCTCTCAGATGATTAAAAATATGACTGAGCAAAACAAAAAGCATTGAACACCCTTTTCACTGCTGTACTTCATCTTAAAGTCACAATGAGGCCTTCAACGCGAAAAAAAAGCTCGCACTTAAAAAAGTCAATATCTGGTAGGATCATAATGCCAACTATTATACATCGCGTATGGATTTCATTATCTTGTAAAATTACACAGGATAGACACTTGTTTAATATTGAAGTCTTATTTTTATACTGTGGATGTGGTCTATTTTGCTTGCGCACTCGGTTCAAGAGACAGCGTTTACATTGAAGGTCCAGTTGCTCGTTTTATAAGTCTCACTAAAGGCATATCAACTGAGGGGTAAGGTTAAATGCCACCTAACGCAAATTGGTTAATCAAAACACGCTTAATTTTATTTATATTATCTGAAAACAGTTTACAATTCTTTTAACTGCAAAACAAATACATTTAAGGTTTTACTACTTACGAATAAGACAACAAATGCATGTTTCCGTTTTGTTCTTTAACAGAAATTAAGTGCAAACTTTATATAAAATTATGGTTTCTATATTTTCCCTTTAGATATACAAAATATTGCCATATTATCAAATTACTCAATCAGAGTCTCGGGTTAGTCATATGCACTACATGTAGACCTTTATTAGTCTACAATGTAGAGGGCTACTTGTAATACTTAGGATTCATTAGAAGTCAACAACAAACATATGGTGTTCGTGACGTAAATAATTGAGCCTTTTCTTTAAAATACTGCTGAAATAAATCATTCCCCTTTGTCAAAGTTCAAAAGAACAGTTAAAAGGTATCAAGATTAACAACACTGGTGATAATTCTGAGAAATATAATTATTGTCTTCGTAATGCCATCTTTTCTGTAAGTTGATAATAGCAATGCATCGTTTTATTGTCTTTTTTATGTCCTCATCTTGACATAAACAGATGTAATTAACTCCCCTGTCAGTGATCTTTTGATAAATCGTTACCTCCACCTTGTCTCCGATACAAATACTTGGCACACAATAAACTTACCAACGCGTGTTGAGTTCTGCGACGCACATAAAATAGTGTCAAAACGAAACAAAACTTATGTTTTCCTTTTATCTTGATAGTATTTTACTAACATTGCAGAGGAATGTTTCTGAAAGCTGACGGTTATTGCTAAGCAGAAACATATTTCTGGCACTCTGGATCTCTGTAGGTAGCCATGTCTTTTCGACACATTGTAGAATTTAATCAATTATTGTAATGTAAAGATATTTGCTAATGCAAAGACTACCTGCTAATTTTATTGCGTGCTAAACGATGCCGACAGCCAATTATAAAGATGTCAATATTCACAAATGTAATAACGAAACATTAGTTTTTGTTTTTTTGTAATTCATATTTTATATGTACCAATCAAGTTACATAGTTGGTGCAAATATATTGCTAATTCTACGCCTACTTCTTCCTTCAAAGGAAAACCTGGATGATTATAGGTAATATTTTGTGTTCCTTTGAAATCACAGCCAAAGATAAAAAAAAAACAGATCTTCCTTCTCTTACTGGATAACCGAATTATTTACGCGTCATATATAAAAAAACAATTTTTTCGCTGAGTCTGACAAATGTACTAATATCCTCTGAATCAGCGATAAAAACTGGGCTTTACAGTTACATTTGACTTCCAAATATAAGGAATCACGGTGTGTGATATGTTTAGTACGTACATAGTATATTCATATAATGGTGGTACATGTACTTGACGTCTCAATCCTTTACTTAAGTATAATCATTTAGTTTAAAGACACATGGGAAGAAAAAATAGTAGTTTAACAATGTCTAAATCTCATAAATCTCCGAGACAGCTTCCCGACCTGTATGTGTTTTTCAACACAATTTAGGTTCGGTGGACGTATGTTTAAACTTGCAATTCATTGAGAATTGTACTCTTCTACTCAACGACTTGTTAATTTATACTTTTGAGCTTGACTTTATACAAGTGCTTCATAAGAAGAAAGAAAACGTGCTTTAAATTCTATTTTCGTGAAATAGATGTTGTCCTTTACTAAATAATTAAAGTTTGGTGATCACATCTAATCTATTTATTTAATATTGACTATCATAATTGGTAGTCTAGAAAATAAGGCTATGATAGAAACAACAAGGACCGCTTTACACGCCTATCTAAAATGTGTGTCGGTATATAAGCAGCAGCTTATGGTGTTTATATCTTCTGCTGACACTATATTCCTGAACTTATATTTCTTATCGGGAATTTCTTGAAAGACCATGACTATTACAACAACGTAACGGAATCAATAGTTCTTAGCGGTAAAGCTTTCCAGACGGAATCAAGAGTTCTTACCGGTAAAGCTTTCCAGACGGAATCAACAGTTCTTAGCGGTAAAGCTTTCCAGACGGAATCAAGAGTTCTTAGCGGTAAAGCTTTCCAGACGGAATCAAGAGTTCTTAGCGGTAAAGCTGTCCAGACGAAATCATAACATGGTTCACCGTTACAGAATATACGAGTCACATATGTCCTCCAAAGTCGTTTTTGCAATCCCGTCTGCGTTAAGGGCTTGCACCTGAAGACGACTTTCTATCTGAGGTCACTTGTCATGGGTGTCATTAGTGAAACAAGAACTGCTTACATGTCACACAGTGTATCTTTCCGAAGCAAATAAGTTCCGGTTTTTTGGTTTGCTTTGTGTTGTTCCATATTAAATTTTTATTTGTTTCTGTTTAGTGCTTTTAAACTGCTGTTTGTCCTTTCGTATTTTTATTACAACGATGCTGCCTGTCTTTTTTTATGACTAATCATTTCGAATTCCCTTTCTTACCCTCTTACTTTTTACAAATACTTGTGTATCTATTTATAATTGTAATATATATACAAGAAATAATTGACCAAGAAATAAAGTTTGCAAATTGTTGTTTTGCTGTAAAAAGAAACTATTTGTTTTATTTCAGATACCAGGCGTTACACAGAACCATGTAAGTATTTCACCTATTGTTAATTTAGTTATTCCCTTAAAACCAAGGAGGTTATACTAGATTCTAATATAACCTCCTTGCTTAATATTATAAACTTATTTTATTACTCTCATACGTAATAACGTGTTCAACACACTTAAAATCTCAAGAAAGGCATACAAAAGTTATACATTAAATGCAAGAAACACAAAAATTTCGTCCATCAATTTAAACATTATTTGAATAACAATCGACAGAAAAACAAAATTTAATGTTTATGGATAGCAAGACTTAGAACAAACATTGAAATTTATTTAGATTGAGCAGCACTTTCAGATCCAGATTCCTTTTTGTACAAACCGAACACGTTTCAATATGACTATCAACTGAATTAATTACTGTATTATCTATAACGCTAATTGTATACAATCTCTCTTTAAACATTTCGTCGTACAATTTTAGGATCATAATTAACTTAATTTACTAATTTATAGTTAACTTTGAAACATGAGTAAAGAATTTGTATAAACGAATTTGCACTGGCCATTGCATAGAATATTTTTTCCTGTACTGTACACGACGCTGTTGAATGAAATCTACTTGAAAATGCAGCAACCGATATTTAAATGTAAACCGGCATTATCTTTGTATTATCAAGTTAAGTACTTTGAATAAGCAGGCTTTCAGTAACTGCGGGAATTCATTGATAAGACATTATTTAGTAATGTTTAACCTGAAGTATTTATGTTTCATCGCCATAACACCGATACTATTAAAATTAAATTACTGTTTTGCTCGTAATCATACCATAAACGGTACCAATATTTATGCACCAGATGCGCACTTGTGAAAATCCAAAGCTTATTAAAAAGATGGTATTATCTCTTTCTTTAAATCTAATTACCACTGATAAGTTCTTAAAAGGGGAGGGGGGGGGGGGGGGGGGGGGGTATGTGCCTGTCCTTTACTTTATTTGATTTTATTACGTTATATTCTTGTGGACTGTTGTCTATGTGTCTTTTTTTTTTAATCTTTTGGAAATGGTGTTGTCTTTTATAGACGTATATTTATCTCCCCCTCCCCGCCCCCAAACCTTAGTATTTGTTTATCTTTTTTTTCGTGAAAAAGTGTATGTAGAAATCATTGTTTTCTGCAAAATTAGGCGAGATTACTTAAATATAGCAATTTATGATCAATATGTGAAAGTTTACATAAAAAGTCAATCCTTAGTTCTTCTTACCATGAACCTTTCTTTAAATGAAAATGTGTGAATAAAAAGAGAGTATGATTATTATAGTTCGACAATCTTTTTATCAAATCGAGTTGCTTTTTTTTTAGCTTTGAAGCAAACTGCTCAACAATCATGCATCGTATAAAACCAATTGACCAAATGCATAAGATAAATTTATATTTCTTTCAGCGATAACTCTTGACGGGACACTGTATCCAAGTCCTAACCAAAAACTAAATCTCACGTGCAATTCGACTGGTAATGATCGTTCTCCTGAAAAAATAGACTGGTTTCATAATGGAAACCTTATTGCGGAAAATAAGCCGCAGTGGAGAAATAGGGCTGTTATAGTGAACTATGTCCCAGAGGTTCCAGGTGTATCGTTAATAAGTCAGCTTACAATAGATAAAGTTGGAGCATCAGACGCTGGAATATATGTATGCAGAAGTATGACCCCTAGTGAGGGCATGACTGTAAAGACGACCAGTGTCATGGTCAATGTTTTAAATGGTAAGCATTGTCACATTTTGTTTTACTTCCAATACTGCATTTAAGAGCACAAACTCGCACCATTAGGAGTCGCGAACAATGAAATAAACTGAACTACAAATGTACTTCAAAATGAACTAAGTTTGTCATTTCAGTGCCTTTTATAGCTTGCTATGCGGTATTGGTTTTGCTCATTGTTGAAGGCCGTACGGTTACCTATATTTGCTAACTTGTACATCATTTGGTCTCTGGTGGAGAGTTGTTTCATTGATACTCATACCACATCTTCATATTATCATAAGGATAAAAGTCGAAGAAATATTGTTTTCTTATGAAGCATGTGATGTTATGATGAACAACAAAATAAAAAAAAAAACTTTTTAAACGCACAAATTTTTTTTTACACAAAATACTTCTTCGTCATGCAATCAAGTGGTTTCTTCAATGTTATGATTGTAACAGTAAATATATTACTTACTTACGTGTCAGACTATGCTGAAATATAAATACAATTATAAATATTACATAAATATAATACATTGTGCACAGCGGTATATTATTTTGTATCTGGGAATTTGGATAAATATTTTCAATGTAATCATTGCCGTAGATTTTAATAAAACTAAGCATCTGGAAATCAGCTTATTCTTCAAAAAACCAATACAAAACACATTCTACTATAATAATTGCAATGCTTTCTTTTGGAGTGATATATCTATACCTTTCATTTATACATTGTAAATCCTGGCTTCTATCATAATAAAAAAAAAATCGCGCTGTAAACCCTTTTCTATAAATAGTAAGTTTGACCACTTAATAATAATATTTTTAGTGGTACAATTACAATGTAGGTTATATTTTTCTTTTTTATTCGTTGGTTCAACATGTTTTTGATAATTTTACCATTTATGTTAATGTTTAAACTGCTCAAATGTCTTCATATTCCCATCCCCATAACTGTAATTTTTTTATTGTCATGGCAAGATTTTTAAAGTTCACGAGAAGATTTATGCCCCACCCCTTTATAATAAACTGTATAATTTATCAAAAACTATTCAAATCCCCATTCAATAACCACATATATTATTGTTAGATAAATAGAAAAGAGTTTATACCATCTTTTTTACTTGTATGCCATATGCCATCAATGGCAGAATGTGTTTTTTGTGTCATTCTTTTACCGAAGTATCTTTTATACAAAAGTCATGCTTAATATGAAAGGGAGACACATGTTTTAGTCCATTTAATTTACATCCTTTTTTAGATAGAAAAAAACTATTGTAACGGATAGACGTTTAATAATTGTTAGACATGTTTAATAAATTCTGTTTGGTATTTTGTTCATTCCCTTCAACATTAAATAAAATAGCCTTCACTGATGCCTTCATTATGCAGCTTTTGGCTTTCTAAAATTTGTTAAACATCTGTATGGGGTTAATTGAGGAAACGTGACAACTGCGAAATATATTTTAAGAGAAATTTGGAATACGAGAAACGATTTCATGTTGTCTTATAAATCCATGAACACATACACTAGAACCAATTTCAGAAAGAACTATAAAATTGTTAAAACAATGATAATTTTTACCTAAAAAACAACTTGTATATAGATGATGTTCTCTCACTAAATAATGCAAAATTTGGTGACTATGTTGAACGCATCTATCCAATCGAACTTGAGATAAAGGATACAAAAGATACAGTTAAGTCTGCCCCACATTTTGACTTACATCTAGAAATTGACAATGAGGGTCGGTTTAAAACAAAACTTTACGACAAAAGAGTTGCGTTCAGCTTCCCAATTGTGAACTTTCCATTTCTATGTAGCAACATTCCAGCAGCGCTTGCATACGGAGTATATATCTCCCAGTTGATACGATATTCGAGGGCTTGTATTTCCTATCATTATTTCTTTGATAGAGGGTTGCTGCTCACAAGGAAGCTATTAAACCAAGAGTTCCAAGTAGTGAAGTTGAAATCATCACGAGTTGGTTGACCGATGGAATATCCGACAGATGACAACGGATATGTTCCAATTGTCGTAACTACAATTCCGTCCCCTTTTTCACCTAATGTGATCTACCGAATTAGACTTATCACCGGGTTTGTACTAACATGAGCAACATGACGGGTGCCACATGTGTAGCAGGATCTGTTTACCCTTCCGGAGCACCTGAGATCACCCCCAGTTTTTGGTGGGGTCCGTGTTGCTCAAGCTTTAGTTTTCTATGTTGTGTTTTATGTACTTTTGTTTGTCTGTTGGTCTTTTTCTTTCCTTTTTTTTTTTGCCATGGAGTTGCCAGTTTATTTTCGATTTATGAGTTTGAATGTTCTTTTGGTATCTTTCGCCTCTCTTGTAAGAAGTATTTCATAAAAATCTTACTTTGCAGTGAAATTGAACATTTTTAATACAGTACGCTTCGTCAATTTCCGAGTTGTATACATTGGAAATACATAATATGTCATGTATTTATTCTTTTCTTGATATATTTTTTTCTTAAACGTTACCATCAATGACATATTCCTTCCATTTCAGTCGTCATCTGTTGCTGTCATTTAGTTAGTAAGTTGAAAAAATAAATCTTTTTCATAGACTTTACCATTCCTATAAAGTAAACCTTGTGTGTATTTACATTTTATTTGTTTTCATTTTCATATTGCAGCAGAAAAGGATATTAAAAAGAGAGAAGGTGGGTACATTTTTCTAACTATTTGTATTCTATACATTGTATTTAAATGAGTTTGTGCAGAGGAACATCGTTTACCGCCTTAAACAAACGTAAAACAAACTATTCTAAATCATTGTAAAGTGTTGAAAATGAGACAAAAATTACCAAAATTGACGTATATCTGATTTCAACTACAAATAGAAAATGTAAAGCGCATGCAAGTTCTTCTATCTTCCATCTTATATATCTTCATGATGCAATCTCTTCCTTGTCTGAATGTCCGAATTTGGTTTGATCTGCCTTCGACGTGCCTTCAAATAGGTACCGTTAATGTTATTAACATTCGTATCAAAATTGCCATCTCTAAACAGTCATTTAGTTGAGATACAATTCAAAATAATACCCTTAGGTTTTTCACGGAATTGAAAGCCCGATATAAATGCATGAACGTCTATTTAAGCCAATTTCTACAAAATATTTAATGAAACGCTATAATGAATGAAGATCGATAAGAATATTCAAAGTGATTTGATTTGTATTGTTCCCTGATTTATCCCTTTTTTCTTTTAGTTACGTTAACGTTTTTCCTTGAATTCATTTCCTTCTGTACCGATCTGTAATATTTCCAACTCTCTAACCACTACATAGCAGATGTGGTATACCTTATTGTTCTCAAATAACAATGTTAACGTTTTGTAGAGTGCTCACATTTATAAATGTTGTGATATAATGTTATTTGATCAAAAGTTAATAAAAGTGGTAATAACACAACGAAAAAACATTTATATTTCTGACAAGTTAGGGGTCAAAAGTACATTTACGTGTACAAATTGACAGATCTGACGGAGGTAAGCCGCCAATTATTTTTAATGACTAATATATATGGAAATATGGTTGGTCTGCAGTCTTTACTTCAGTTAAAGCATTTTAACAGATAATGTACTTACTTGTATCGAAAGAAAGGGGGCACCTTTTTTTCTCCCAATACATTTCATCTAAACAATTATCCCTTACAGTGCGTGTACTAGAACATATATAAAACTTTCATTTTTATTTTAAAATTGAATTACACATACTGCTTTAATATATCTTTACTTAATTGCATGCACGATGGAAAAAAATAAAAGACAAACAACTACATAGTTATTTTGTAGTCGTATTTCCTGAAATCATGTTCGGTACTGGATTTCAAATGTTGAGATATATAGGGGTTTCTAAATAATAAATAGTTTTAATTGATTTCATCGGAAGAAAAAGCCAGAAGAGATTGTAAATTTAAGGAAGGAAGGATTGGAATTGTGTATGAACATCCGCTTGTCATAACTTTTATCTAGTCAAAACGTTTTCCCTGGCCTAAGTAAGACTACTACCTATGTACATGTACACATGTCAAATTTCTTACATATTCATCGAATATGCCGTTTGTTTCTGTTTTCTGCGACCACACATGGTATCAATGATACAAAGCTTTGTTAAATGACAGCCATACGATACCGAACCAACTATGTTAAAACGAAGATGAAACCTTTCTCAAAAAGAAAACCAGACTAAAGGAATCAAACAAAATTAGACAGTCGACAAACAACCACTTGAACCTTTTTGGGTAATAAAAACTGCCATAACAAATTGAAATCAACCTTGTGTTTTGGAAGGGTAATAGTATCATACTGAATATGCCACCCGTCTATATTTTTGAAGATTTTAATTTGAATTGTCTTTCACGTTTGCTATTTTAACATTAATTCTAACAGTCTTTTACTGAATAAAATGCAACAAGAAGATTTATTTCGTAATATAAACTATTTTTATTTTCATCACCCTCGACAAAACTGTGATATAATTGTTTCAGATGCTCATATGTAAGTTACTTCAAAGAAGTCATAAATAACTGTAATGTAATTGCTTTTTATTCAATATTTTAGATGGTCATACGCAAGATACTTCACATAAGTTATCAAGGCAAGACAGTAACAAGACAGTCAGACTTTCAAGCTGTTTTTACTTGATACTGCTTGGACTATTATTTCAGATCGTGAAATGATGATTTGTATGTGATATGTGATAATGTGCCTTATATGGGCGTATGTGAAAGGTTTAACCTCGATACCATGGCAACTAGATCATTCATGAAACTGAACGAAAGGATGTTATGTGTTGTGAATCGCACTCTTGTGATACAAGTAAACAATAATGCCGCAAACTTGAAGAACGGTCATATTTTGTACGACAACTATGTTCATAAAATCACATTTCATTTCTGTGTTGTGATCAATTAAATATCTGAAATCCATATCATTCAGAATCTCACTGATCATCTATGCATGTTTGTATGTTTATACAAGTAAAAATAACTAACATGCAAATCACATCATTATAGCTTAATGTTGCATTGTTTTAATCGAATTCATTGATTCATTGCTGTTTACATTTTAATCATCTTGACACGTTGTAATAATAAACTACAGATCAGTTGGGTTCTGCCTTGTTACCCTTCGTGGCAGCCAGCCTCACTATGCCAATTCAAGTAAATATCTGAAATGTTGATTGTAAATGCTCATCTGCTTATATCAATATATTGTAAAAGTAAATCTCATGATAACACAAGAAACACCATGTCTACAATAAAAGGCCTACAGGGTTGAGAAGGTTGAACTGATGCCCGCCGTGTGGCAACTCCCACTATAGACCTCAGCCGTTATGTACTTACTGAACTTACAAAGTGAAAGGGCTCGAACACGAGTCAGTCAAAATTAAATTTCAAGCAAATTTTGTGAAACAATTCATTTCTTTGTAATTGTCCTTTTTTAAAACATACCTGTCTGAACAGTTAATATATTAGAAATAGTTAAATGTATTAGAAAATGACATCAACCTGATTTAGACATCAAAGTTCAGATATAACCGTAGATATTTATATTCTTTTGTTTTTTGTTTTTTGCACTCGTAATTTTTTCAGTCGTTTTCATTCACATTCAGCTACACGTATTCTTATGTTGGTAATTTCACCAATTTTTCAGGACAATTTCAAGTATCTACCCAACTTATTGTTATTTTAGCCACTGAAACAAAGATACTGGTATATTAACTTTGTTACCTCACAGTACTGTACACCTCTTTACCATGTCATATATGTACTAAAGATATTATTTTGTTAAATTGTCAATTTATGTTAATAAAATTAAATTATTGGATTATTTGCTTATTTTACTTTTTCCTAGTTTGCCAATTATCAAAATTGTCATATACAATGTAGATACAGATGTGCATTATCGTGTACACAAGTTTTTTTCCTACGACACTGGATTTATTAAATTACATTTGTACATATTTTTGAGCCGGATTTGGTAAAGAATCTCTACAGTGTTTGTCGCTTCCTCTTCATATATGCGTGGTTGATGAGACTTGCATGTACATGTAGTGTCAGAAACTCGTTCGTGTCTGTTGAATTTATTAACACTTTGTATAGACTCCGGTCGTCATGAACATGCATGAAATGTTTGCCACTGGACGTTAAGCATCCAAAAATCAATCAATCAATACTGTGGTGGCGCTTGTCGTTTGTTTAAATGAAAAAGAAAATACAATTTATAAATTTGTGAATACGAAGAGCTTTTCTGGATTTTATTCGACCAGTAACGCTCAAGACCACATAGTTGAAAGCAAGAGATGTTAAAATATATGGAAACGTTAGGAGATATAGGACCAAAACGGATTTAAAACGAATAGTCAAATTCACGTAAGGTCAACTTTGCCTGAAAGAGTTCGAACCTTAGTTTCTTAATGATTTCTTTAAAGGTTGTACTGTGACTTAATTTTTATTATTATTAAAAAATTGTGTTGGGTTGTATCTCGTTGCTGTTTTCAAAACAGCATCCGTATTTCAAAACAGCATCCGTATTTCATAGAAATGTTAATACATCTACTCGAGGGCTGAATATTAGACTTTTGTATCAGATCTATTTCAATGTACTTCGTTAGATCTTTTAAAAATTTTCAAAAACGGTAAGTAACCATGCAATCTATAGAACCAAAAGGGAGTCTGGTTATTTGTTTGAACATAATGACAGATACATGTAGATTGATTGGTTATTGTTTGCTTCACGCCACCTTAGCCCAATAAGGATATATTGCGGAGATGCAGGTATAAATACAAAGGAATATTAGAACTGGGCATGCCCAAATAGACATATATCGGACTAATCGGGCAAATATAATTCTGCAAGTTTTATTCGTGCTTCTAGCAATTTGCTGCATAATTCCTATTACATTATTAATCGAAGTTTGATGATTTATATTCAAGTGCACAGATTCGCAATTGTTTGCATGATTATGCAATGATTAAATTCAAGAACACGTTTTAACAATCATTTGTACAATTCTACAATGATTTAATTCAATTATTTTCATATTTATAAGAAATGTGAGCGGTCATTGGGTGTGATAGATAGAGCATTACTATGCAATGGAAAATAAAAATTAGAGTGAATTCGATAAGAGAAGTGTATTTGAATTGCAACGTTAATAAGATTGTGTTATTATTGGTTTATTGTGTTATGTAAATTGTATCAAAGTTTTCGTCTGCATAAATATTTAACTCATAACGGAAATACCATGAATTAAATGATACAACTCACTTGCATGCAATCAAACAACACAATTAAAGGCATTTAGACTTGTCGATTAGCATATGAAAATAAGGAGATTTTGTATGATTGCCAATGAATCAACGATCCATAACACCCAAAGGACAAAGTGAAACTATTACGTGACAGATCAGCGTAAGAACGTCAACTATGAGCAAAACCCATACCGTGTAAAAAGCTTTATCGGTCGTCCACTGTCTATATCACTCTGCTCAGCTCTTAATAAAATTGCATATAACGGTTTTGTGACGTCAAATACGTTGACCTAGCCTTATTTACTTTGAACCGGACATATCAGCGACGTCATAATGTTTGAACCGACGTTAATAAGTTTGACCCGAACTTATCAAGTCATCTTCCGGTTTGCTGGGGAAACAAAGACAACACTTCCAAAAGACGCAAATACAGCCCGATAAATCGATTATCAGGTTATCTGCATATTGATATTGTAAAATGTCAGCTGCTCGACACAATATAAAGGCTTTTGATCTCGTTCGCTGCGCTCACTCGACAAAAAACTTCATCTTGTGTCTCGCCGCTGATATTTTACAATATCAATATGGAGACAACCTGATAATACTAACATAAATGGTCCCGATATGACAAAATGTGAAATAACGTTGAAGAGAAAGCAAATGCCCTGATAGACGTTTCTATTTCGAACTTGAAAACGAATGATGTAAGGGAAACATATTTCTCGTATACCATGATTTCACTAAAAGTTGAAATGTTAGCAAGGATATTTTACATAAATATGAAAAGATGAATTTTATGTTTTGAATAAATTGATAAGAGACTTAAAAAGTAAATACTTTAACTAAAGAAAAATCGTGACTCTAATCAAAGATTGTTTTGCTAATTTATCTTCAAATTCTGTACACTTGTTATATAGCACTAAAAGATTTGCAAGACTAATGTTCGTCGTCAATTGCGAAGTCCGAAACAACTGGTTTCAGATGTAGTGAGGTAGTGAAACGCGTATCATACATCACCGCTGCTAGTGGTCTTTTATAGCTGACTATGCGGTATAGGTTTTGCTAATTGTTGAATGCCCTAAATAGCCTACATATGCTCAAATCCACATCATTTGGACTCTGGTCGATAGTTGACTCATTAGCAATCACACCACATCTACTTATTTTTATTTTAAAACTAAGGTAGTAACTAACTCTATCAGGAAAAAAGTAATCCTAAATAAACGACGTTTTTGGCTTTAACCTTCCTTTTGGCCAATGCTCACAACATTATTATGTGTTTGTCCTTCCAAACTTTTGCCTGGAACTAACTGATGAACTCATTCTTGAAAAAAAATTCTGTGCGCACGGAAATATTTGTCATAACTTTTTTATTCATTTTGTTTTCACAGCTATCCTATTAGTTTTGCCTAAGTCCGATACATTTGTGTTATAAAAGATTACAAAATAAAAGTCCGCCGAGTTTCATTTGCACTATGGCCGCTTCTACTTCTAATGGAGTCGTCCCAATAATCGAATTGAACAAAATTGGAGGATTATAGATGTTTATTTTTTAGTTAGCAATAAATACCAATCCTGGATATTTGAGATGACGAAAATAATTAATAACCATCAAGTGAATTTTCACTTTGCACCTTTACTTTTCAAGAGAAATTGAAAATGATATCATTTGACAGGTTCAACACGTTTATTTAAATTGTTTTTAATAAGAATTATAACTGATTCTTGGAAAATGTACTGCCGTTCACTATAATATCCTTCCTGGAATCGATCATTGTTTGAAAATTATATCCCATTACAAACGGAAAAAACAGTTGATTCTTTTATTATTTTCTCAGACAAATTAAAAGTGCTGCCTTTATCTTGATACTTCTACTATCAAATACACGTCTTTTTGTGTCATATATGTAAACACAATCCGTTTTAAAAGTTCAAAATAATTTTAATTGTCCTATAAACAGACCAGATAAAGATTCTAGATTATTTCTTCTAATCCAAGCAAGTCGTTTTCAAGGTGGCGTGAGAAGATCTAAAGAAGTGTTGCAAAGAATTATAAATGAGTATGTTACTGTAAATTATTATTGTAAAATAACTTATTATTTATATTATTTCACGGTCAATAAAATATCAGTCCCAATATTGCATTGCAACTGAAAGGGCTTAAGAAATGCCACTCAATATAACCTAAATATTTCATCATCCAAATCATAACAAAAGTAAAGAAAAACGTAAGGAAAATATAGATTTTTTAATCATAAAACAGCAAAGTGTGTGTGTGTGTGTGTGTGTGTGGGGGGGGGGGGGGGGTGTTCCAAGACTTCTGACTCAATATATAAGATATTGTCACCCTGATTTCTCTCGTCCGGCAGTAAAAAAATATGCTCCAGAGAGGTTCGTGGACTAGTTTTATGTGCATCATGTATTGAAACAAAGCCTCGTCCGATTGGAAACGGGTGCGTTAAATCCAAAACTTCGAAAAGGAGAGTGCCATGTTCTCTATAAATTTAATATATGACAAATCCAAGTAACAGTTTGATGGGACTGAATGTTGACTGTTGCGAGGTAAAACATGTTCAGCTTTCCACCAATCCCTCATTATTCATACGGTGGTTCCAAATTTCTATTTCATCTCCCGATAACCCATTATTTATATACTACCTAACGAATTTATTGTTTTGTTATCTGATTGTAAGGTAAACAGTAATTAATTCAGAACAATTATATGTGTAGCTTACATTTATTTCGTTTTTTTTTTATTGTAACGATAAAATTATATACAGAAACTAAGTCTTTCGTTCGTATTTAAAAGTTAATAATATTAAAAACTTTACCGTATCATTTTATCATTCTATCAGAGACATATATATATGTGTATATATGTCTCTGATTCTATTTAGCAATTATTATTATCAAAATACATGTACATACATGTAAAATGTATCACAAAAATGCGTTTCTTGATCAGTTCCAAAATAAAATCCGCATGCACCCGATTTTATCTTTCCTTCGTGGAATAAATAAGTTTTCTCTTCTAATTAAACATTTGTTAAATAAGTAACAACATTTTGTACTATATGTTTAAATTATTGTAAATTTCGGGAACCATTTTAATCCAAACGAAAAATGCAGAATCTCAAGGGAATATTTAATTTTGTCAGTGGAAATCCTAATCTTCCAATGGAATTTTGTTCTTTCATGTTACAATCAGAAAGAGAATTCCCAAATGGATAGCGGGTATAGGATACGAACAGCTATTGAACAGCAATAAAAATCGAAGTCAAGTTAGCAATATACGAACGACACAAATCAAAAGCATTATGCTGTTTCAATAATGTCTTTAATTTGCAACTCACTGGGAAGATGCCGAGATGTAGAATAAACGATAATTTCATTATCTATATACTGGAATATGAAATTAAAGGACTAGACTAATATCGTTTCATCTTCGTAAGCACTGTGAATAAAAACCTTCATAGGAGTAAAGTAAAAACAATTTCATAAAAAGCGATGCATACATGTTATAGATGCAAACATAGGAAATCTGTCCACAAATAAATTGATGAAGAGTTTAGA